AAACGTCGTTAAAATGTTCATTAAAACGTTTAAATGTTCATTAAAACGTTAAAATGTTCATTAAAACGTTAAAATGTTCATTAAAATGTTTAAATATTCAATAAAACGTTAAATTCTTCATTAAAATGTTTAAATGTTCATTTTTAAAAACGTTTAAAGGTTCATTAAAACGTTAAAATGTTCAATTATTGAAACAAGCAGTCTCCTTCTGGCATAAGGAAACAAGCAGTCTCCTGACATCATAAAGAAAAGAGCTGTCTGCCTCTGACATCATAAAGAAACAAGCAGTCTCCTTCTGATATCATGTAGAAACAAGCAGTCTCCTTCTGACATCATAAATAAACAAGCAGTATCTTTCTGACATCATAAATAAACAAGCAGTCTCCTTCTGACATCATAAAGAAACAAGCAGTCTCCTCCTGATATCATGTAGAAACAAGATATATATGTCTGATATGTATCAGAATATATATATGCTTGTTGAATATAAATCTTCATTAAAACGTTTAAATGTTCATTTTTTAAAAACATTAAAATCATCATTAAAATGTTAAAATTTTCATTAAAATGTTAAAATATTCATTAAAACGTAAAAATGTTCATTAAAACAATAAATTCTTCATTAAAACGTTTAAATGTTAATTTTTAAAAACGTTACAATCTTCATTAAAACGTTTAAATGTTCATTTTTAAAAACGTTAAAAGGTTCATTAAAACGTTACAATTTTCATTAAAATGTTAGTTACAATGTTCATTAAAATGTTAAAATCTTCATTAAAATGTTAAAATCTTCATTAAAACGTTAAATTTGTCATTAAAACGTTTAAATGTTCATTTTTAAAAACGTTAAAAGGTTCATTAAAACGTTACAATTTTCATTAAAATGTTAAAATGTTCATTAAAATGTTCATTAAAATGTTAAAATGTTCATTAAAATGTTAAATTCGTCATTAAAATGTTAAAATCGTCATTAAAATGTTAAATTCGTCATTAAAACGTTTGAATGTTCATTAAAACGTTTAAATGTTCATTAAAACGTTTAAATGTTCATTAAAACGTTTAAATGTTCATTAAAACGTTTGAATGTTCATGAAAACGTTTGAATGTTCATTAAAACGTTTGAATGTTCATTAAAACGTTTGAATGTTCATTAAAACGTTTAAATGTTCATTAAAACGTTTAAATGTTCATTAAAACGTTTAAATGTTCATTAAAATGTTAAAATGTTCATTAAAACGTTAAAATCTTCATTAAAACGTTAAAATCTTCATTAAAACGTTACAATCTTCATTAAAACGTTTAAATGTTCATTTTTAAAAACGTTAAAAGGTTCATTAAAACGTTAAAAGGTTCATTAAAACGTTACAATTTTCATTAAAACGTTACAATGTTCATTAAAACGTTAAAATCTTCATTAAAATGTTAAAATCTTCATTAAAATGTTAAAATCTTCATTAAAACGTTAAATTTGTCATTAAAACGTTTAAATGTTCATTTTTAAAAACGTTAAAAGGTTCATTAAAACGTTACAATTTTCATTAAAATGTTAAAATGTTCATTAAAATGTTCATTAAAATGTTAAAATGTTCATTAAAATGTTAAATTCGTCATTAAAATGTTAAATTCGTCATTAAAACGTTTGAATGTTCATTAAAACGTTTAAATGTTCATTAAAACGTTTGAATGTTCATTAAAACGTTTAAATGTTCATTAAAACGTTTAAATGTTCATTTTTAAAAACGTTTAAATGTTCATTAAAATGTTTAAATGTTCAATAAAATGTTAAATTCTTCATTAAAACTTTTAAATGTTCATTTTTAAAAACGTTTAAAGGTTCATTAAAACGTTAAAATGTTCATTTATTGAAACAAGCAGTCTCCTGTCATCATAAGGAAACAAGCAGTCTCCTGTCATCATAAGGAAACAAGCAGTCTGCCTCTGACATCATAAAGAAACAAGCAGTATCTTTCTGACATCATAAAGAAACGAGCAGTCTCCTTATGATATCATGTAGAAACGAGCAGTCTCCATGCCCTGATGTGGGGCTGGGGGGTGTGTCAACATGGTCGGGACATAGAAGGGGGTGCGCGGCTAAATAAGTTTGGGAACCACTGCTGTAACACAACACCAATGCAATATTCAGTATGTGTTCAATACTCGTGCAATACCAGATTCACATAGTATGTCCGTGTCTCTTGAAGTATGCTGCATAGTGCTAGAACCCAAGTTTTTTTTCTTGGTTTTTGTGGTTGAAGGTTACAATACTTGATTACTGCCTAAGTTTATATACATGTACCTTTATTTTTCTTCAAATTGTTCTCTTTAAGTGTTGGTGCTGCTGTAACAAGTGAATTTCCCCACTGTGGGATCAAGTATATTCTATTCCTGCACTTTTGGAAGAATGGTTTAAAAATCATTGATCGTCATTAACCTTTGGAGTTGGAGCTGATCCCACTTTAATTGGTTGATTGTGACCCATATTTCAGCAAGATGAAGTAGTGTCTTATACAAGCTGTACAGTGGTTTGAAACTATTTGCCCCCTTCCTGATTTCTTATTCTTTTGCATGTTTGTCACACAAAATGTTTCTGATCAAACACATTTAACCATTGGTCAAAGATAACACAAGTAAACACAAAATGCAGTTTTGAAATGATGGTTTTTATTATTTAGGGAGAGAACAAAATCCAAACCTACATTGCCCTGTGTGAAAAAGTAATTGCCCCTGAACCTAATAACTGGTTGGGCCTCCCTTAGCAGCAAAAACTGCAATCAAGCGTTTGCAATAACTTGCTACGAGTGTTTCACAGCGCTCTGAAGAATTTTGGCCCACCCATCTTTGCAGAATTGTTGTAATTCAGCTTTATTTGAGGGTTTTCTATTATGAACTGCCTTTTTAAGGTCATGACATAGCATATCAGTAGGATTCAGGTCAGGACTTGGACTTGGCCACTCTAAAGTCTTCATTTTGTTGTTCTTCAGCCATTCAGAGGTGGATTTGCTGGTGTGTTTTGGGTCATTGTCCTGCTGCAGCACCCAAGATTGCTTCAGCTTAAAGCCTGGTTTATGCTTCTCCGTCAGCTCCGCAAGGGACAGACATGCACGGATTGACGGAAGCGTTTTGCTCTTTTACTTCTCCGTCTCCTGGAGAGTGTTGCAAAGCAATTGCCCGGCAGGACAACAGAGGGCGTAGCGCTGTTCTGTGGTATCCTGTCATGTATCGGTCCAAGATCGTATTGTGTTTTTTGTGTATATAAGAGACTTTTAACACGGACATATTTGTCTCTCATTCTCCCACTGCTTCATGCGCTCCCCACCTCTCAACCCACGTTTCCTGTCATTTCCGTCCACAAATAAAATGCTTGCTGCGCATATTTTCACTCCTCCAGTCACGGGAGAATTAAACGTTCATATTTTTAGAGTTTTTTCGCGAGGTATCCTTCAAGCTTCTCCGTGTCTGCCGCTAGTTGAACTCGGCTCTCTTTGCAATGGCGGCGCTGTAAACAACAGCGGTGTCCTGACCAATCACAAGCTTGCGTAATCCGTCTCGTTCGACGGATGTTAAAAAAAGTGGGCTCGACTCCGTACGTACTTGCGTGCCTGCCGGAGCCCTACGCAAGGACGGATAATGGCGTTGCGTGTCTCCGCACTGACGCAGACGGAGAAGCATAAATCAGGCTTTAGTTGACGAACAGATAGCAGGACATTCTCCTTCAGGATGTTTTGGTAGACAGTAGAATTCATGGTTCCATTTATCACAGCAAGCCTTCCAGTTCCTGAAGCAGCAAAACAACCCCAGACCATCACACTACCACCACCATATTTTACTGTTGGTATGATCTTTGTCTGAAATGCTGTGTTACTTCTACGCCAGATGTAACGGGACATTTGCCTTCCAAAAAGTTCAACTTTTCTCATCAGTCCGCAAGGTATTTTCCCCAAAAGTCTTGGCAATCATTGAGATGCTTCTTAGCAAAATTGAAACCAGCCCTAATGTTCTTTTTGCTTAACAGTGGTTTGCGTCTGGGAAATCTGTCATGCAGGCCATTTTTGCCCAGTCTTTCTTATGGTGGAGTCGTGAATACTGACCTTAATTGAGGCAAGTGAGGCCTGCAGTTCTTTAGAAGTTGTCCTGGGGTCTTTTGTGACCTCTCGGATGAGTTGTCTCTACGCTCTTGGGGTAATTTTGGTCGGCCACCCACTCCTGGGAAGGTTCACCACTGTTCCATGTTGTTGCCATTTGTAGATAATGGCTCTCACTGTGGTTCGCTGGAGTCCCAAAACTTTAGAAATGGCTTTAGAACCTTTACCAGACTGATAGATCTCAATTACTTTTGTTCTCATTTGTTCTTGAATTTCTTTGGATCTTGGCATAATGTCTAGCTTTTGAGGTGCTTTTGGTCTACTTCTCTGTGTCAGGCAGCTCATATTTAAGTGATTCCTTGATTGAAGCAGGTGTGGCAGTAATCAGGCTTGGAGGTGGCTACAGAAATTGAACTCAGGTGTGAAACACCACAGTTGGGTTATTTTTTAACAAGGGGGCAATTACTTTTTCACACAGGGCAATGTAGGTTTGGATTTTGTTCGCTCCCTAAATAATAAAAACCATCATTTGAAAACTGCATCTTGTGTTTACTTGTGTTATCTTTGACTAATGGTTAAATGTGTTTGATGATCAGAAACTTTTTGTGTGACAAACATGCAAAAGAATAAGAAATCAGGAAGGGGGCAAATAGTTTTTCACACCACTGTAGATCTTTAGAACATCTGGAGGCTGTGGCTGCTGTGTTCATCAGAGGATGAGTGGCACCACAAAGGCCAGACGGTGGGATTCCCTTAGACAGTATGAATGTGTTAAGGAGGAACTGGGCACAAATCAAAGAAAGCTGCAGGAAACGACTGAGATCCAAAGTTTAACCGAATCATAGATAAATGTCCAAGAGTTTTTGTTTTACACAGTAAAGGGTGTAAAATTATGATGGCTCCTTCTCATGTCTCCAGGACGTGGCTTTGTTGGAGCTCAATGAGTCAGACAGCTACTCTGAGGATGAGGAGACATCGGACTCTGAGGAGGATTTAGACTCTGAGGATGGTACCAGAGAAATCACAGAACAGAACCTCAAGCTGCCTGGAGACCTGGGCAGAAAGCAGAAAGTCGTCATCCAGGTTCTGGAACGTCAGGGAGACTAGATGAGTCGACCACAAAGACTTCTGGAGCAGTTTTAGTCTTCAGTGTAAGTTTGGGTTTTTTTTTTTAATCGCCTCAGTGGATTCTTTAAATTCTTCTAAATGGACTAAAGAAAAGATGAAAGACTGCTGAGTGAAACAAGAGGAAAGTCTTTTTTAGTGATGGGACAGTTGACCTCTGACCTCTACATACTTCAGTGTTAACGTGAAGACTGGACTAACTTTATGTAGTCAAGTTTTCTTGTGTCACTTTATACATGACTGTCAGAGAAGCAGTTTGGTCCAAGTGGTAAAAATAAAACAATAAAACATTTTCAAACTCACTTTTCTAATTTTCCTAAGTGGGAAAAAGAACCAGATCCAGGTCAGAGGAGGGAACTCGGGAGGCAGGATGTGATCTCTGTCACACAGTAAGACTGATTATGTTTGTTAGTTAAACATTTGGGGATTTGGGTGCTTATTTCTCCAGTTCTGTATCATATTAAAGGTTTTTTTAAGGTGATGTGAAGGTAATAAAGGCTGAAAATTTTGGCTTCATAAAACATCCGAAGGCAGGCTAATCTGGCACTTCTAAAGAAAAACATGCACAGGTGCAGTTTAAATGTTTGTAGTTTTGGTACAAATCCTGAACGCCCAGAGGTTTGATGCTGTTTCTGTTGGAAAATGTGATGTTTTATTTAATGCAGAAGTTTCTCATGATCAGAAATCTCTAGAAGAATTGGATGTTTTATAAAGCCTCAGTGTTTATCTGTTACTTCATGTTGTCACATTTATTTTGTCACTAAATAAAATGTCTGAACATGCCGGTGTGGTGAGTGAGTTGTTTTTGCAGGCCAGGAACTCCTGTTGGTTCACCACACTACAATTAAACATTCTGGATAGAAGAAGAAATGTATTTACCGTATATAACAGATAAAATCACAAAGTGCTTCAGAAAAACTATAAATATAAAAGCAGATGCAAAAAAAAACAAGTTCCAAATACAGAAAATTTAGAATTTGTAAAAAATATTTAGATGAGTTCATCTCTAAATATTTAACAATTATTCATTCATTTGATTTATTCAGTCAGAAATATAACATAACATAATATAATCATAAAACATAAAGCATTACATTTAAAGTGACTGAAAAGGCTCAGGCAGAATTATATTAAAATAATGTCCTTGTTAATATAATAGTAAATAATTAAAACAGACTCTGTCAAACTGATATGCCCTCCTCAATTCTGTACCTGGTATAAATGTTGTACTTATTTTTAAACAGAATCATAGTAACACATTTCCTTAATGCCCCCTCCATCCTCTTCCACAGTCTTGCTCCACATAACAAAACATAAAAGATTTTACTTGTACGTGCAAAAGGAATTCTGAAATGAAATTGTTCCCGTAATTTATAACCCCATTCTTTCTCAATGAATAATTTTTAGATGTTTTCTGGTAATAGTTTGTTTCTTGCTAGAAATAATATTTGTGCTGTCTGCAATTCCACGATGTCTCTGAATTTTAAGTGTTGACTGTATAATTTATTAGTGTGATCCCTATATCTTATCTTATGAATGATTCGTATAGCTTTCTTTTCCAAAATTATCAATTTAATTCCAAATTTACTAAAGAAATTAAGAAAAATGAAACGACTCCATGTTGTGAACTCAGTTTTTAAAGTGTTGTCCAGGTTTTTAGACGGCCACTACGAACAGAACACCACCTAGATATCTGTAATGATGGAGTTGCACCCGCTCATATCACCACGGCAACCCTGGAGGGTCCGGCATCACTCCAGGATGTGGAGTGCAAACACGCCTTTCCTTACATTTCTGTCATCAAAGGCGTGTGTCCAACCCTTTCCCACCCCAGGACTAAAAATGAGCCAACCCAGGACCCCTCCATGTTCCAGAGCTCAAGGGGGTCCCACCATATTCCCAGTTTCCACGCAGCCTTCAGCCATCCAGGGTGATTGTTTCAGGCTGACCTCTTGGACTGTTTACCACTGTTAGTCATTGTTTCCTCTAACTCAAATATAAGCAGATGGTATGCATACTTTTAGCTTTATTCAGCTTTAATAACTTTCACAGCTTTTTTTTCTTTTAGGGGACAGTTGTCACATGGCTCTGCCTTTGGGCCATTTCAGAATCCTCCCTGCTGTTTTTCACTAGAGACATAAAGAGAATAGAAAGGTTTGTTGCTGTAGAAATAGGAAAAGACACTTTGCTGTTAAATACTGATTTTATTCTCATTTATTAAAAACCGTATTTACATAAAAGTCATATTTGACAATGAAGAAAAGTGGATGTCTACTTTTGGAGACTTAGAAAAAGTATAAAAAGCATTTGTGACAAATTATTAATTTTAGTGTTTTAGAATTATTTTTGGGACAGAATTTCTTTATCATTATGCCAAAAAGGAGATAGTCGTGTGTGTCTGTGTGTGTGCGCAAAGTGACTTGATAGAACCAACAACAGTAAATCTACAATCGTTGGGTACAGAGGGTGATTTTCTTTTAAGACATACGTTGTTCAAAACAAGGCATCAGGGCTACCTTTAATTGCTGATCCAAGATCAGCTTTAAACATTTCATTGAAATTATTTTAAGCAGACACTGAGATATGACTGATTTATGGAGCTCTTTTAAACCTGATAGACTCCCAAATGTGTTGCTTCCATTTTCTTCACTGACTTTGCTCCACCAGGACCAACATAACATCCCTAGAGCTACTTTGTTACAAACACGGATGAAGCCCAGTTGTTACATCACTTCCTGTGTGAGCACTCTAAGGTCCTACACCAGAATGATAAACCTGAAACATTTAACTAAACATCACCTCTGTCCAGGGAGAAAAAAACTCTCAGAAAAGGTGTTGAAGTAGAACCATCATGAGATGTTTCAAGCAGAAAAAAGAACAATAACATTAGGAGCGATGCGCTGTTGTAGTGTCAATCCAAATGTGTCTTTTATGTTTATTTATAGAGAAGTGAAATGTTCCATGAGACCTCCAGATGTGTAAGAAAGAACATGTTAACCTTGTTTAACCCTCTGATGCATGAATTATGAAATCTTCAACCATGATTTTTTTTTTTAATTTTCATTCATCTTTAGGTGTGAATGAAACAAATTTCAACAAATATTTTTTGTAACATTTTGTTAATTTACAAATAATTTATTACATGTCCATCTCAGTGGACAGCGTGCATTCTGAACATGAAATATGTTGGCTTGACTTACTGAAGTCCAAATGGAGGGGCTCACATGCAATAAAGTCTTCAACAGCTGTGCTTAATAGCAAAAACAAATAATTTTGAGTACCTGTCCACTGTAGTGACCATTATGCATCAAAGGGTTAAGATACGAGGCAAACACCTGCCCCAAGTTGTGTGTCAAAGCACCCAAACCCTGGAGCTGTTCCTACAGTTCCCGCTGACACTGTTCAGGTAGACACTGATGCTGGATGTCTGAGTTTCTTCATAAACAGATGTGTCTTAGCGGAGCTAGAAGAGTCAGGGCATCAGTACTCAATAGTCACTGCTTTGGTCTTGAGGTATTCCAGGAGGGCGTCCTCCCCTGTGGGCGGGACAGAGATGAGACTTGTTGGATCAGATGCTTTATTAGTGATTTATGGATAAAGGAGAACATCTGTATGTGTTTTATAACTATCATTTATATTAGGGATGTAAGAAAATATCGATATGGCAATATATCGCGATTTTTCCCCAGCAATATTACATCGATATTCAAAAGCCGTGTATCTAATTCTTGAAAGAATTTACATGCAAACTTATGTGTATTTTCTTTTCGTTTTGTGCAATTCAGTCGCCACCCGCTAGTTAGCAGCAGTGTGCAACAGGTTTTGTTTCCACCATTGAACTGTAAATCCCTCCATCATGGTTCAGAGACCTCATGTTAAACATGTTACGTATCAGCTTGGACTGTTTATTGAACATTCTTTCAATAAATTCAGTAAAAAAAATTGCTTGTAACGTCTGACTGAATGTATCGCAATGTATCGTGATATGTCGTATCGCCTCCCCTGTATCGTGATATGTATCGTATCGCCAGAATTTCAGAAATACACATCCCTGATTTATATGGTGATAGCAGCAGCTTTGAGTGATGCTGCAGTCGTCACATGCAGGAACAGCTTGCAGCAAGGCAACGAAGACCATATTTAAACAACCAAGGAGTTTATACTAACCCAGGTCTTTGCCGAATCCCGACTGTTTGAAGCCTCCAAATGGTGATGCCACGTCCGTCTTGTTGTACGTGTTAACGAACACAGTTCCTGCCTCCAGCCGTTCACTCACATACATGGCCTTGTTGATGTCACGTGTGAAAACCCCCGAGGCAAGGCCATACTCGGTGTCGTTGGCTCTCTGAAGCACACCATCCACATCACTGGCGTGTGGGAGGAGTCAACAGAGGAAGACGGGGCATGTTAGGGATTATACCGAAGCTCTGGAACAAAACGGCATTCAGACTCACTGACCCAGTTTTGAATTTAGACACCACCATGACCGGACCGAAGGACTCCTCTTTAGCAATGAACATGTGGTCCTCCACATCGGTGAACACTGTTGGCTCCATGAAGAAGCCTGAAGACAAGAAGAACAAAACTCATTCTTCATCCATCCATGCACACCCATCCATCCACCCACCCACCAACCCATGCATACATCCATCCATGCATTTATCCTTGAATTTATCCATCCATCCATCCACCCACCCACCCACATAGATTCTCCCTGAATAAGGAAACGTTCTACCATCCAATAATCTGAAGGACCTGAAGCAAACACATTAGATGTAGAAATGTCAGAAGGTTGAGATTCACCTGGCCTGTCCACCTGTCGACCTCCATACACCAACATGGCTCCCTCCTTCACCCCCGCCTCACAGTACTCCAGCAGTTTGTCCAGGTGGGCTTTGTGATTCTGGGGGCCGTGGTCCGTGGAGCGATCCAGAGGGTCTCCAATCTTCATTTTCTTAATCTCCTCCACCTTGTGCAGTAGAAGAAATTCATTAAAAATACCAGTTCAAATATCACCCAGCTGTGTCATTTCTTCTTTTATTCATGTAGCACATTTGAGAGATAAAAAACACAAAGTGCTCCATCACAAAAACCTAAATACATGAAATATCTTTAGCTGCTGTGCTAACGTTTCATTCTATCAATATACCTAAAAACTAAGAGAATTCATTTAACAAAACAAGACATTTCTGCTTAAAGCAACTGGACCACTCAGGGTTTAACCCCTAGATTTTCATTCAATTAGAAATGAAAGGTTATAAGATTTACCCATTTGTTTTCTACTTTAATGTTTTTACCTTTTTTTCCTCATGTACCGTGTTCAGCGCCTTGGGCTTCCCGACAGGAAGGCACTTTATAAATAAAGCTTTGATTGATTAAACATTAATTTATATGTAAACAATAACCCACCACTCGACTGATGAACTCATCGTGTATCGACTCCTCCACAAACAGACGCCCTGCAGCGATGCAGTTCTCACCCTTGTTGAAGAACACAGAACTCATGCCCTATAGAAACACACACACACACACACACTGAACAAGTGTAGATTTTTATGATCATCCACAAGCTCAGAAGACGTTTTCACAAAATCATCCAAAATCCTTAAAATTAACATCTTCATCTGTAATTTAGCCATTTGGTCTGGTAAATATGAGGAATTTTCTGTGAAAGTTTCAAGACATTTAATAAAATGAGTATGTTGAAGGTTTTTCTTTTTATTCTGACATCGTTTTTCCAACATGTATGAACTCATAAAACCATGTGTACTTCATTAAATCAGCTGTGCGTATTTATTGGTCTATGAAATGTGAGCTAATCAGAGCTTAAGAGGACATGTCCCTCACCATACGGACAGCCTTGTCCATGTCACAGTCACTGAAGATGATGAGAGGTGACTTTCCTCCTAGCTCCAGGGAAACCTTCTTCAGGTTACTGATAGCACAGCTGTGGGAGAAAAACCACAGAGATGGAGTGAAAAATAAAGCTGGTCAGTGATCTAAACCTAGAAAGGACGAGTCTGCCTCTTCTCACCTCTTCATGATCTGCTTGCCGATCGGCGTAGAGCCGGTGAAGCCTAGCTTGCGAATGTCTGGGTGGTCAGACAAACGTTGTCCTACCATGCCACCTGATGGACACATGCAACAAAGTATTACAGACAATTTAATTAAATAAACTGGAGGAATAATGAAACTCCTGTCATGCACCAGCTCTACTCGGATGCAGTGATAGGACGGTTGGAGGTTTCTGTTTGTATCACGGTGAATCAGAGAAAAGCAGAACATTGTGTTGAATTCTCTCGTTTACAGTCACCTGTGCTTCAAACAATGTCAGCAAAATCTAAAAACTACTCTAGACACCTGGAGGTCAGATCGAACAAAAAATAATGAGAAAACTTACCGGAAGAAGTGATTATTTGGATCATCGATTAATCGGATGGGGGCTCGACTTGATTAATCGGATTGAACGGGAAAATTTAAATCAAATCAAACGTTATTTATAAAGTGCTTTTCATTAAAAAAAATGTAACTCAAAGTGCTTTACAGATCAAAAAGACTCCACATATCCCACATATGTCATTAAGTAAATTCCTCAGTTAAAAACTGCTAGGGAAACATTTTTCCTCTCCTTCCTTTACTTTATTTAACAACTAAACGTGATTAGAAAACAGCCCAATAGCATGCAAAACAACATGCTATCACCTAAATGTATCCATACTTAAACGATGATCAGTAAAACTATTAAGTATTTCATTAACAGGTTCAGTAGTAAACTACCGGTAATGCTAATAACATTTCAGATCTACTGCAAAACGTTTGGCAAAATACAGTTTAAATAATGTTCACAGACAGCTGTGTTAGTGAATTACATGCTACAGTGGCTTGCCATAATCCTGCAGCGGTGTTTAGAAGGGCAGACTCGAACCTGTCGGCAGTGGTTCTGCTGCATAGCGCTGCAGACAGCTAAGAATAAACAGGATGGTGAGGTCTTACGCGTGTAGAGTTTAGACGTTCTTAGTTTCACAACCATCGTGTGTTTTCTGAACCCCACTTGATCATAAGCCTGTTACCTGCTAGCATTAGCTAATCTGACTGTTCTCGCACTTTTGATCCCAAACTGTTTTTGCCTTTGTGTCTTGCTGGTTTCTGTTTTCCTCCACACCACTTAGATTAGCACATGGTGCGTCAGTAGCAGCAAATTACTGTTCTAAGTTTGTCGTTCCTCATCAATACACCGGCTTTCTCTCTCTTTCTGATCTGCCTCAGTCTGCTCTGTTGCCTCCGTGAGCTGTGCGCATTGACTGTTAAATGCGTTGCCAACACATTTCTTCATCGATTTTTATCGATTCGTTGTTGCAGCCCCATTTCTGTCAAAATGCTTTGATAAAAGCTCATTTAAGAAAAACGCGTGTTTACCTGAGCCAGGTAAAATATTGATGACTCCTTTAGGGATGCCAGCTTTCACAGAAAGCTCAGCGAATTTCAATGCAGTCAACGGGGTCACCTGTAGAAGAAGTGAATGGATTCATCCCAGAGGTCATTTTAGATTCATGTGCAAGCAGCTTTCTAGCACTGACACAGAGAAATAACACAAAACAAGAATGGTTTATAATTTTTTTTCCTAAGCAAAACATGCTTACCTGTGCAGGTTTTAGAACTAGCGTGTTTCCAGCTGCAAGACAGGCAGCGCTCTTCCAGGCCAGCATCATGAGAGGGTAGTTCCAGGGGATAACTATAGCACAAACTCTGCCACAGACCAAAAAACTGGAGTAAATGACTGTTGACAGAAACTAACAAGATGTTTAGATGATTTAAGAGTAGATCTCTACCCTAAAGGTTCTTTCCTGGTGAAGGTCAGGTTGCGGTTGGGCCTGGCTTGATTGATAGGGATGGTCTTGCCCTGCCACAAGCCAGAGAAAAACAGTTGCACTCATTTTTAACAAGATGAAGCTGATTAAACATTGTTTTGCTGTGATGATCCAAATGGAACATTATCCAACCTGGATTTTGTCACACCAGCCTGCAAAGTAGCGGAAAGTCTGGATGGACATGCCTACGTGTGTCTTCAGGGCCAATGTGTACACAGCTCCAGAGTCGATGCTCTCGATGGTTGCCAACTCCTCCTGGTGTTCCTCCATAAGGTCTGCTAGCCTGGAGGTCAGCAGCACATCAGGGGATGTTTCAGCAGCACACATGCTTACACAGGTCAACGGCTTCTAGTTTATGCAGAACAGATCTAAACACGTCTAAAACATCTCTGCACCCAGAAAGCTGCGTCCGTCTGACATGAGTGAGAGAGTCTGAGTCAGAAGCCGTTAGAGATCTAAGGACCTGAGCGCTCAAACAACAACGAAGGAATGAAAGCGTGATCCCCACGTACTTGTACAGCAGACTTCCTCTATCTCTGGGGTTCATCTTGCCCCATGGTCCATTTTCAAAAGACTCTTTGGCAGCAGCCACGGCTCGGTCCACATCTTCCACCGAGGCGTAGGACACCTTGCAGATCGCCTGGGTGAAAAAGGTTCTGTTTGTAAGGTTCAGGTTAGAGGAGAAGCACGCTGAGCCAGGTTTCGAGGTGTACAATAAAAAAACTAAATAAAAAAGAATCCTGGGCCTTACAGATCCGTCCGTAGGGTTGATGGTATCGTAGCTCTTGCCGTCTCCTGCATCCTCAAACCTGCCATTAATAAAACACTGATAGGGCATCTTCACTGTCATGTTGTTTATTTCTTTGGTGACCTGGGCGAGAAGAAAAGCATGAATCATATTTCAGATTCATGTGAAAGGACTCCACACACACACACACACACACACACACACACACACACACACAGTGTGACACTCACATAGCTGATGACCAGCTCCTCCTCCTCCTCTCCTCTCAGCTTACGAACAAACATCTGGATGAAGTCCTGGAAGGTGGTGGCCATGTACACGTCCTCGTTCTGCAGCTGGACCCCAGCACACCGCTGCTTGACCTCCTCCACTAACCTGAACACACAGACGATGGCTCTTCATCAGTCTGAACAGCACCTGCAGTCACCTCCTGGCCAGAAGGGTGGACAGCTCCTAACATATAGGGACTACTATAAATGTTGGGTGGTGATATTGTTCAAAACTCCAGAGAGAGCCTTCATGATGAGCTGAGTGTAGATACGAGAGAACAGAGCTTCAACTAAACATGAAACGCCGTTACCACTAAACCAGGAAAACGTACAACTGGAAGATCTGAAAAACATCTCTGAATTGATTACCAAGTCACTTTAATGACAGGAAGACTAGCTGATGAACCGTACTGATAATGTGGCGAGGGGCTTTTAGGCCAACAGATGATGTTTATATTTGATTGTTTTGTTTGTTTCTTTGTTTACACCTGTGTCTAAAATCAGAGATGTGTCATGACAGGAGCAGAGCCCTGGAAGAAGCGGCCATTTAAACTACTTAAGTAATGTTTAACAGCTGTTCTGGGGTGGGAAGGCATTTCCCTCAGTAATACGAACACCCTTTAGTTGTTTGCACCGATATGGAAACTCGTGGCCGAAATAAATGATTGTCAGTAATAAGAACCATTCATGGCTACGATGTGTCCTGACCTCACTAAAATCCAAACCATGAAAATATTAATTTAGCACCGACAAAACAACAATGCACAATATAAATTAAAATTCTATATAACACGTTTTACTTGACCCCACCTGTGTACGTTAAAAAATAATGAATTATAAATAAATGTAATTATAAATGTACAGGCTTCTAACTGAAAGGTCTGCTGTGGACGACCGTAAACTCCCATCAATTACAGTTTGAAATCTGCCCCCTCGGAGGCTCCCGAACGAGCAGAGGAGGAGAGGAGACGAGTGGAGCTCAGAGAGGGTGAATATTATTATATAATAGAGAGGAGAAACCTACAACACAGACAGGTCTGAAGGGTAATATTCACCCTCTGATGATGATATTCACTCATCCAGTGAAGAAGGTGATGTCTGTGTGCTTCATGAGAACACACACGCTTCACACACGCATGATTCACTGTGTTCAGGATATGGTGGGTGTAGAAAGAATGGTAAAAACACTGCTAGTAGTGACAGACTTGGCTGGAATGTAAAAGAAGTAAAAATAATAAAAATAATTGCCGGGCAGACGGATGGATGTGACACTGCAGGAAAAAGTACATCACATGATTGATATGAATATTCCAACAATAGTAATAAATCATCATTACCAAAGGGGGGGAAACTTTACTGTTGAAATCAGTACGAACGTAGTTTTTATGAAGCAAAAAGCAAGTTGCCACATGAGGGCGGAGCGAGAGGAAACAAAAACGGGGTTCATCTGACGGCCTGTTTCGGCCGTGTTGTTTTGGTAAATTAGGTGTTCAGCCGAAGACGGAAAATGCTCTTTTGGGTCATTTTCTGTCGAAAATATTCAGGATATGTTGCAACTAGCAATAAAATACAGACGAAGCTGAAAATGTTTGAATATGGTGCAAAAGTTAATTTAATTCAATAGTTCTACTTAAAACTGGAACTAATCTATGAGATAAACTTATTCCGTGCAAACTGAGATATTTCAAGCCTTTATTTGTTAAAACTGTGATGATTATAGCTTACAGCTTATGATAACCCCACATTCAAAATCTCACACAGTTATATATAGACAGAATATTGTGAAAAGGTTCAATATTCTAGACTCAAAGTGTCACACTTTCAGCTAATGAATCCTTAACACCTGGAAAGGATTCCTGAGCCTTTAGATGGTCTCTCAGTCTAAGCTGAATTACTGACACAAATGAGCTTTTGCACCATCATCTAATTTTCACGTTTCATTTGTATTATAATTATTTAGTGTTGGTGTATTGTAGTGAAACGATTTATATCACAATACAAGAGAAGTGATACAATATATTGCAACATTAAAGCCAAATGATATTTGCAACTTTTTAATGTAGTTTTTAAATAAAAATATGTTTAATTTAATTTGAAAAAATCTGTTCTGATGCTTCCAGGACATATCCAGTGTTATCATGAGATCTTGATGTTCAACAGGGCCGGTATCCTGCATCTTTTTGTTGTTTCCTGGCCTTTTCCAACACAGTCTATTCACCTGTGCAGAAGCTCATCAAGCTCACCAGAAACCTGTTAAAACCCTGCTGATTGAAATCAGGTGTGTTGAAACAGGGAAAACACTAAATTGTGTAGGACAGCGGCCCTCGAGGACCGGTGTCGGTACATGATCGGCACGGGGTCCTTCAACTGCCGATGACGTCACATTATTGCAAATCTACTTGGCTTTCACACACACGTTTTGGAGAAATCAGCAGTTTTGTTAATAAATTCTTGTTTGTTAACACCTAAATGTTTTCTTTATAATTGTAATTTGTTAATAAAACACCATATTATCTTTGTTTTGTAAAGAATGTGAAACTGCGTAAAACCAACATCGGACTGACAATAACTAGAACAGTTCTTATATGTGAAGCCATATCTGTTTGTATTAATGTGGAGTTCGTCTGTATATTTCCTTAGTTGTTATATAAATACATTCTTTGATTCAAAATATTGCTTGGTGTCTTTCAATAAAGTTCTTATATTTTATTTTGCCCATTTCATCAACATCAAGAGCTTTTGAGGGTCACCGTTTATCATTTGCTTATATTTTACATTTCCTTTAGAAATTCAAACATATTTTCTCCAAAAAGTGTTGATTTTTGGACTACAGGAAAACAACCGCTAAGACTACGACCGCAAATTTGTTCTGACCAATCAAATTCATAACGTGATAACGTCACTTCTGTAAGCTTCATGTTCAGCCAATCAACTACTTTGACGTCATCGGCAGTCGAAGGACCCCGAGCCGATCCTGCACCCGAGCAGACGATGTACCGACACCGGAGTTGGGCACCTGTGTTCAATAAGAATGAAGTCGGTTAAAACTGCTGCCACCTAGCAGTCAGAGTTTGAATTGTACCACACTAATGTTAACATGTAAATTCTCAAAGCAAAAAATGATACTTTTTAATATCCATTCAGCAACATAACAAAAATTTATATATATATATATATATATATATATATATATATAATTTTTTTTTTTTCAAATTTTTATTTTCATTTATCTAAAAAAAAAGAAAAGCATCGACACACAAATTTTAAGTTACTCAAACCAAAACGAAAAGGGGACAGAAAGAAGAAAACTTATGTTATTTCAGAGCATCAATATTTTCTTACATCCCTAGTGTATGTTTCCATGAATATCACAATTTCCTCGAGACATTGTGATATAATGTTGATATAAGGCTGTGTCACCCACCACCACAAGGCTAGACCTTTTCCTCAAAGCCTTTCCATTTTGGCTTCATTTGTGCTCGTGGCTGGAATCAGCTGTGTGCTTTTGAACGCGTGATGTTAGATTTAAACCCATTTAAATAAATGTTAGAATCTTGTAAAGTTCAGCTCATCTTTAGTCCTGAAGCCTAAAAAGCAAACATGCCCAGGTGATGTTTTTGAACTCATGCTAAAGATGACTGGGTACAGGTGGATCCTTCTGGATCAGCTCCTCACCTAACAACATCCATGGAAGCAGCTCCAGACTTAAAGAAGTCAGTGGTGTCCTCAATGGCTGCTACATTACTGAGGATGCCCTTCCAGACATTCTGTAATGAAAGAAGAAAAATGCTGTGAGGTTTTCCGTTATTAATATTATGGTAAATAAAAACAAACAGCCTGGTTTACTCGCCCTTATTTCCTCAGCCATCTTCTTCTCATCATCAGTGAGCTGCACGCTGGAGCTTTCTCCAGAGGAGAAGTATTTAGACGCAGGGATCATTTTTCCATCTTCAAACTGCAGATTCTTCACCTGGAGCTGCAGATCAAACAGACGTTCACAGTAGCACCTGCTGTGTTTGAATAACCCAGAAACCAAACAAGTCATGTGAAACTCACAGCTTTCCCATCAGTCCCAAACAGCACCAGCCCACTCTTTGTGATGAGACCAGGCTGAGAAGCACCCTCGATGTCCACGGGCTGTCCGGCTGGAACTGGACCATCCACCATGGACGAGCCATAAAGAGTCACAGCCTGATTAAACAAACACACACACACACACACACACACACAAGATAATCTGTAATAGTTATTACATGAGATACCTGCAGGAACTTTTTTATATTTTATGACTTTATTATAAATATTAGTGATGCACCGATATGAAATTGGGCCGATACCAATATTAAGCTAACTGTTATGGCCAATAACTGATATTTGCCCATACCGATATACTGACATTAATGCTTCTAAAATCAGCTGATTTTGTATAGAATTACATTATTAAAGCTGAATTTAAGTTATTATGTACACACACCACACACATTTACAGTTCTGAGATGATTACACTCACTGTTCACATGACTAAACAATTACACTTCACCCCCTCACCCTCTGAAACAGGCAAACAAATGAAGACGAGATGGAAATAATATCGATTGTTAATATCGGCCCGGTTTTGTTTATCGAACCGATTCGATATGTTAAAAGATGACTAACATCGGCCGATAACGATATTGATGCAGATATATTGTCCATCCCTAATAAATATCTATCAGCAAAGTTCTGATCTCTTCAGCCCAAGATGTTTGATTCAGTCTCTGAGGCTTTACAATAAGATGAAATCAGGGAAAATATTAACATGCTTTTGTTTATTTTGACCAAGAACTACCTTATATTTTATATTCTTAGTAATCACATGTTTAGTTCAGGAAACAGGTTTTCCATTAAATTCCTTTTTATTTTACAATCAAACATTCACAGGACAATTTAATTTAATTTGGACATTTTTTTAAAAATAATTACAAAAACCCATCTTCACACTAAGAAACCAAAAATGTCAATATCGCTAACAGCTTCACTGTTTATTTTCTTGACTTCCAGAAAACCAACCTGGCCGTCCAGGACAGTCCAAGCTCCAGGGACTTTGTCGTGGCCCCGGATCCAGTTGTGGATGGCCTCAGCTGGCTGGACCAAGTGAACCTGAGAGACACGTGGAGACGGGAGTCAACACTGATGATGGCTCAGATTCACGTTAAACACTGGCTGCTGTTGCGGCTCCCTGGGGAGCTCATGAATACACACCATGGAAAATCAACTCCTTGACTAAGAATAACCCACTGCGACGTGCTGCTAGCAATGTGGTGCTAAGTGACGAATCAGAAAGCAGTTAAGATCAGTCCCGCCCCCTTTTCTACTTATAGACTGGACCAGTCAGCTGCTGTTTCACTGAACTGAGCTGCACCACACCTCCTTCTGTAAAAGCAGCTCAACAAGTCGACACTGAGAAGGACACACCGTGCATCAGCCTGGCTTTGAGTGGCTGTAAAACATGATCTGGTGGTGGATTCACACTCGCTGCTTCTGTTGGTGTCCACAGAGGTTTCTAACAGAGGAGCGTTAAACGGGAGAAATACAATCCTGCAGTGAGCTTTTATTATATAAATAAATCTAGCAAGTAGCCAAAATCCTACTTATACACTTTAGGGTATTTTTTAAACTTTTCCAGCACCTTGAACTGATCTTGAGTTGTGGTATTGACTAGTCGTGTGATGCAGCACAAGGTTTGTGAGGGTGCAGAAGCACAGGAGAAATGTAGGTGGTGTGGTCGCTTTTACGTTGAGTTGAAAATCTCGGGATGATATATTTGCAATATCGGTAAGTATCGGTTAACGTTCATGATAGCAATATTAATATTGGATATCGACATGAACCAAAACATTCATATCAGAGCATCCCTAGTTTTTATTGACATTTTTGTCTTGAGGTAACTTTTAACTTCCTCATCTCATAAAAGTGGCTATGCTCCGACCAGCTTCACTTAAGAGTCTCACCACTTTATTAAAAACAGAAGCACTTTCAAAGCTCTGAGAAAATGCAAGTATTTTCATGGATTTAAAGCATCCACAGGAACTGGGAAGTTGCCCTGTTGGTCTTCCAGATCCACCACATACTCAGCTTGCTAACCTGCAGCTACTGTTTGTGCAGTTGAAGTCCCACCTTAGCATTGGACTTCCTCTGGATCCCCTCGTAGCTCGCTCCTTCCTTTGTCTGAGGAATTCGTGGAGCTTTCCCATCAGCGATGAGCTGTACCGACTCCACCTAGCCCAGGTGTGACAGTTCAGTCCACAGTATGGTGTTTCTGTAGGGTTAGTACATGCCCAGGTTAAATTACAACTAGTTACCATGGCTTTGATGCCCTCTGGGAAGAGGAAGCGGTTATATAGTGTGTCCACTGTGTCATTGGGCTCAACGGAACATTCTCTCTGGAGCAGAATGGGACCAGTGTCCAGCCCATCATCGGCCCAGAACACTGTGAAACCAGCTCTTCTGTCACCATGGATCAGGGTCCTAGAAGCACATCAAGGCTGTTTTTTTTAAAACACAAAGAACTTATTTGTAGAAAACAGACAAAGTGACAGTAAAATCTGTGGAAGACATCAGTCGCTGTGGTTACGAACCTCTACTAACACAAATCAGAATTTAATCGATGACCTTAACTTTTGAGTTGGGGTGATCCTGGAAGTTTGAGAACGTGAAACAGGAAGATATCAATTGTCTTTTGGTATCACATCAAAAGTCTTTCATGCATCAAAAGTTGATGCATGCCAATTTCCTAAGTATTACAGCACGAGCAGCCGAAATGAGCTTCCTCACAGAGTAGCCACCAACCGGGTCCAGCCTTACAGACAAGGATAGGAGCTCCATCATTCACGAGGAAGTCACGAGTAGAGCCACTGCTCCTCCACATCAAAACAAGTCAGCTGAGGTGGTGTGGGTGTCTAGGAAGCCTACTGGTCGCTCCCCTCTGGAGATTTTCCAGGTCTTCGCCATTGAAACACCCAGATCTTGCTGGAGGGATGACCTGTCCTCTCTGGCATGGGAAAGCCTTTTGATCCCCCGGTGGGAGCTAGGGATAGGGAAGTCGGGGGTTCCTTCCAGGACCTTTTACCCCCTTCAACCCGACCTCGGATAATCGTAGGAGAATGAATGGATGGACATTAAACATTAATACTGGTGAAAGCATGGGTCTGTTGGGTCGAGTGCTGATTTCTTAAATTTACTTTTTCCTGCTATGTTAGAAAATCAAAGAAAGTTTCAAATCAACTTTTTTTTTTTTTACCTGTTATGAAGTCAGACAATTTAGGATGCAACAACCATAAAGAATCTCTGAGAGATACTGGAGAAACTAGGATTATATAAATTATAGATCAGGAATGAGAATTTCACGTCCTGATGCCTTAACCCATCGTATGTCTCTGTCTCAAGGCAGACTGAGGGACGATCTGTTTCCACACATTAAAACAAACAGAAGTCTTTCATTTCTGCAAAGTGAAACAGGAGCAAAGAGGTCATGAGGGTGGAGACCAGGCAGCCCAAAGGAGAGATAAGAAAACCAGCAGACCTAAACATGGATTAGGACTGAGACTTAGAAGTCAGCATGAGAACGAGAGTGGTCCACCTGTCCTCTTCCTCACCAGTTGATAGCAGAAGCTCCTCTGTGCAGAGGCAGAATGGAGGGATGATAGATGATAGAGCCATGCTCCGGATGGTCGATGACATTCATGGGGATGAACTGGGAACAGAAGGGCATGACGTTGAGCTCTGCTCCCACGGACTTATACGCCTCCACCACATCTGGGATGGGCTTCCCTTTGACCCGCCACCTTGGAAACTTGAACACCGGTGTCCCATCCTTCTCTGCTGCTGTCGCTAGGGGAGGAAATAAAAGGAGAAAATTACTAAACTTTAATGCTCTGTTATGGCAAAAATCACAATCACGATTTTTTTTACTAAAATTGAGATCTCGATTATTTAACACAATCTTTAATTAGCATTGGTAACACAAATACTCCACATACTGACAACAAGAGCGCTACTGAGTGCAAACATTTGCAATATAAAACACAGAACATATAAACTGCTATGTTGTAGTAAACCTCCACAACCTGCTGCATGATAACTATTTAGTCCTGTCCAGCGGTGCCGTAGGGGAGTGTGTGTAGCAGCACGATGCAACATGTCACCCAGAGAGATTATTATTTATCAACGTGAGAAGCTGGAGGTGTGGTGTGAGAGTGCACGAAGACAGTAAAAATATGCGTCTTCCATTCATCGTGTGAGAGTTTGCAGCCCTGATAAAACATAAATCCACCTCATATGGCTCGCTGTATCTTGGTTTTATTTAGCTTGTAAAACAACTGGTTTTGTGAGCGAATGAGATCCACAGAGAAAAAGTTTATGATTGGTCAGTCGATGTAACCTGATCGTGCTGCACATGCACACATCCATTCCCTTTCCTAAAGGATCGGAACGCAGGTTGAGGGTTTAGCTAACCTGAAGGGAATATCGATGACAAAGTTCTACAGAAAGTAGCTACGGGTTACCAGAAATGTTTCTAGGTAGTTTTCTAGGTGCTTTGGGGAAAAAGTTCAAGAAGGGGATTTGAAAAATTGTTAGAAATGGCAACAAAGTTGCTAAGTTAGAAACGCTGTGTGGGAGGTGCACTTGATTTCAATCTCGAAGCAGCACCAAAGAGGAGAAAATAATCGTCTCATTTTGTTTTTATAATCATTCAGAACCCAGACCGTAATGGTCATTAAAATTCGATCAATCGACCAGCCCTAATTTCTAGCTACATTTTTTTCAAAGGATCAAATATTATTTATGTCATTGTGTATAGTCTGTATGTAATTTGTATTTCTGACATATTTAAAATAATCAACAAAGAAGTGAGCTTTGGATATGTTGCTTATGATCGAGAACGACAACTCATATGAATGCACTCATAATCTGGGTATTCCCATTTAGGGTTGTCACGATACTAAAATTTCAAACTCGATTCGATACTTGGAAAAAAACTCGATGCTCGATTTCGATACTATTTAAAAACACAAATTTATTGAACAAGTTTATTCAAAAAATAACATTCCTCAATTTATATTGCAAAAATTTAATGTTAAGAATTAAGTGTGTAAAGTGCTTAAACCTTTCAAGTATCGGCATTTTTTAAAACGTGCATACAAAAACTGGTGAAAGTTAACACTTTAAATCATGAATTGTCTCACTATATATACACTATTTGCAGAGTGATGTTTTGCTGCTTAAACTTTGTTTAAGGTGCATTTTTGTCATAAGATGTAATGCCATATGTTTTGTTCTGTACTTTTAAACATCTCTGTTGGTCAATAAAGGGAGAAAACGAATTTCTCCACAGTAGGACAAAGGTACATCTACTGGTAATCTTAATAAAAACAGATTGGCGCACGGCAGTGACGTTATTAAAAGCGCCCGTTAGATTAGCCGCGGCTAGTCTGTTCACGCCTAGAAATCCCAGACTAGCTCCAAACGAACAGGGGAATCACGTTAATGATTCCTAACAAAACCTTTCGACATTGAGATGTTTTGGTGCAGATAATGTCTTATTTCGAGGCTGCACCATGGGTGCCCGTCCGCACCCGTTATATGGATATACACTGATGGCGATTCGCCGATGGATCTAAATACCCCGGGGAATCCAAGTAGCACCAAAGTTGTCAGCGTGAGTAAACAAACGTACTGCATGCTAGAAATGAAGTCCGGGTTGCAATAAACGGGAGTTTCCTTTAAGCTCATAAGCGTGAATATACAACTACGTGTCGGACTTGGTATGCTAATTAAGTTGGGCTGTGAAGCGCCTCCCAAATTCACTGTTGCCATTGTTAACAAAACTTGGATCGGAGACAACTTGCGTGGGAAATTGCAATGTAGCCATGCGGCGTCTGCTTCTTCTGTTTGTCTGGGAGGCGGAGGCTGCTTTACGGCATCTGGCTGTCGTGCGTGTCGGTGTACTTGAAGAAGGCTGTGAGACTCCATAATATCGATACCACAGGGATGGAATATCTAATTTAAATACCACTTTTAGTATCGATTTATATCTAGGTATTGATTTTTTTGACAACAATATTCCCATTACATCCTGGAACATGAGTGCTCCTATATACTTCCTTGTTGTTTTCCTCTCATCTAACAAGGATGTTAGCAGTAGCTCAGACTAGCATGGTTCAGCAGTTGGCATTACCGTGAGTGACCAACATTTATACATTGCTGTAGTTAAAGTGGGTTGGATCATCAGATTTAAGGTGGTGTGTCTACGCCTACATCATGTTATGCCAGCTTTTCTCAGATCAAACCATTTCTCTGTGGCCTTTAGAAGATCACTAACAACAACATTATAAATGTGGATTTAAATTCTAGGGCACCTTTGAACATGATCATGTTCACTGGTCCTGTACTGCTTTAGTTCCTGTTTCCTTCAGAGTCAAAATCAACTAGAACAAACTCAAATCCTGCTATTAACACGTCCTCCTGGAGATGAACACATACGAATGTTTGTTCTAAGTTGCAACACAATTAAATGTAAAGCTGTATATTCTAATTTTGTGCTAGTCTCAACATCCACTACAACGTAAGGAGTTTCTGAAGTATCTCAAGTGAAGGGACCCAGGTGACCTCTGTACAGCGATCAGACTGTTAGTGGAAGTTCACTTAGATGAGGGCAGGGGTTAGGGCCAGTCTGAGCCGGATTTATCTAGACACACAGCTACAAAAACTGCAATAAACCTTATCAGCCCATGTTCTCTAAATAAGTCCCACCTCTGATGTCTGTTTATTATAAAGGCAGAAGAATTAAAACACAAGAAGACATATAAAGTCTCAAGCCTGCAGGGATGCAAAAGCCAGAAGGTAAGAGGCAGAAAAACAGACTCAAACTTCTCCAGAGAGGAAAGTAGAATATGGTCAAAATAAGGGTGTGAAGTAATGATCAACATGTGTTTGATGCCTTGTGGAATGAGTACACAGATTTGTCACCTCAGTGCTGCATATCTAGACCATGCAACACAAACAATGGAGCCAGTAGCCCTCAGCTAATACAGGATAAAGGGCCATCTTTGTCCAGGAGCACAGTACAGTCAACACGCATCTACCTCAGCCACGGCACAGGCCTCTGGGAGCCACTGTTGGGATCCAAGACAAACAATCCAAACACTCTTGGAAATAAGGGTTTAACTTATTATGGGGGGGGGGGGGGGGGGCTGAGAATCAAAGGGACCCAAAGTCTTCTCCAAGCACAAACGCTTCTTTTCAATATTTATTCACAAAAAGACATTTCTCTGATAAAATGAAAGGGAACACGTGTTTTTGTGAGAAAGCAGGTATCCAACATAACTTACCCAAAGGGTCTGCCTTGCCATCTTTGTCAGGAACAGTGAAAACCCCCACGACCTTGTGACCCTGCTTCCTCAGGTTGATGTACACCTCTTGACCAAACACACTCTGACCAATTATGGCTAGTTTAAGCTTATTCTGGTAATAATGCTGTAAGGAGAACAAACAACCAGCGTTAGATGTATTCAGTGTGTATTTTTAGTGCAGGAAAATACAAAAATACATATGAAATTGAACGTCTGTTAAATCCAATTATTTTACTTGTAGCATTAAATTAGAATAAATCTGTTGGGGTAAAAGAAACAGTCATCTAAATCTTTTTCAACAGACGCAGTCATCATTTGTGGCACAAATCCATGCTACGGTGTATAAAGCGCACACATAAATCTGCATTCACTGGGTTTCTGAATTTAGCAGTTTAGACAGAAGCTCCACCTCATCAGTAACTTGGTACGGTCCCTCAATGCTAAATTCTTACATGTTTCAAATTAATAGCTTTGAAATATTTTAAATGTATCCTACAACTCAGGATTGCTAAACAAAATAAATAAATATATTAAGGGGCCAGTTTTCACTTCACAGTATGATTACATTTTAGGAATGAGGATTTAATATAGGTTTAAAGAGCGAGTCACCCCCCAAATCAACTCTTTTTGCTGATAAACTCTATAAATGAGTGTATCACAGAGCTGTAGACGTGTGTAGTCATTATCTTGGCATGTAAGTGCAACCCTAAATTCATATGTTCTGTCTAAAACCGTCGGTGTAGCCTGCTCTACAGTTGTCAGTCACTGCCGCAGCGCGACCTCCTCGGTCCACCAGGCAATCCCTTCTTTTGGCCCATTTTTCAAGCAGGAAGTGGGTGGAGTAAGACTCTGGGTCTTGGGTGACTTGCTCTTTAACAATAAGTAATAAATAAATTCTGTGTTTTCCACACTAAAATACAACGTTCTGTGCAAACCCAAATCGAGATTCAACAAATCTACTTTGAAGAGTTTTATTCTGACAAGATCGATGGGATAACAGCTAGTCCGAGAGGGTCACATGGAGGACTGCTGCCATTCTAACAAATCTCCAGTCTCAAAAAAGTCCCGTTTTATTAACCTTTACACCACCGTTCATTTCATGTTACACAGTTTAGGCTGAAGAGGCCAACTTTAAGCATTCAGAAGGGGTGAGGTGGTGTTCACCCTTGGTAAACCCAGCAAAAACATCTATTTCTGGGAATATGTCTTCGTCTTCGTCTTCCTCCGCTTATCCGGGTCCGGGTCGCGGGGGCAGCATCCCAATTAGGGAGCTCCAGGCCGTCCTCTCCCTGGCCTTGTCCACCAGCTCCTCCGGCAGGACCCCAAGGCGTTCCCGGACCAGATTGGAGATGTAACCTCTCCAACGTGTCCTGGGTCGACCCGGGGGCCTTCTGCCGGCAGGACATCCCCGAAACACCTCCCCGGGGAGGCGTCCAGGAGGCATCCTGACCAGATGCCCAAACCACCTCAACTGGCTCCTTTCGATCCGGAGGAGCAGCGGTTCTACTCCGAGTCCCTCCCGAATGTCCGAGCTCCTCACCCTATCTCTACGGCTGAGCCCGGCCACCCTACGGAGGAAACTCATTTCGGCCGCTTGTATCCGCGATCTCGTTCTTTCGGTCATTACCCAAAGCTCATGACCATAGGTGAGGATTGGGACGTAGATCGACCGGTAAATCGAGAGCCTGGCTTTCTGGCTCAGCTCCCTCTTCACCACGACAGATCGGCTCAGCGTCCGCATCACTGCAGACGCCGAACCAATCCGCCTGTCGATCTCCCGATCCCTCCTACCCTCACTCGTGAACAAGACCCCGAGATACTTAAACTCCTCCACTTGAGGTAGGACCTCTCCCCCGACCCGGAGGTGGCAAGCCACCCTTTTCCGGTCGAGAACCATGGTCTCAGATTTGGAGGTGCTGATCCTCATCCCAGCCGCTTCACATTCTGGGAATATGGAGAGCCAAAAAGGCCACAATCAAATAAAATAAATAATTATTCATGTGTCAAAATCTGAAACAAATAGAACATGAATAATTTACTATCTGTCATGTGAAACTGATGAAGATCTATAGGATCACTGGTGTTAGAATGAAACATGACTTTTACATGGGTAGAGGATATTGTTCCCTAAAATTATAGCTATTGTAGAAACAAGTTCACATCATACAAACGTGTTCCCACTTTCCATTTAAAATCTGCTTATAGAGAGCTACTTGTGATGTGTTATTCATGGTTACAGAGACCTAGCTCCCGTAGAAGAAGGCCACACTGGTGAGTCTGGCTGCAGAAGAACATGCGTGCAACAGGCAGAGGAGGTTTCACGTTTCCCCATCATGCACACATAAATGGTCATATGGTCTCTGGGTGCTGCACCGCGGTCTGTTCGCCTGAGAGCAGCAGACAGCTTCGGACTAACGGGATGGACGGAGCTCCACCAGGCTGCAGGGTTTAGGGTGATACGGCTCATATGATGCAACTCCTCTACTTCTTACAGTAACGACAGTAAGGACAGCCAGATATGCACTAACGTAGCAGAACACACCGAGACAGGAAGCTGCAGAGCTGCTTTAGATGACTTGTTACAACCAGAACTGACCCCGCTCTCTTACGACCCGTTGGAAATATTAATGAAACAGAGGCACCACGAATCTCTGGAGCTGCAAAAATCAATGTTACTCACGGACGAGGTGGAGAATTTCCGTAAGACTTGGCTCGCCGTCCACAACATAATGGCGGTGTTTGACGTATATTAAACAAATGGGATGACGTCCACCTGCTGTGGAGCTCTGATGCCTACCCCTTGAGTGTGTGTGTGTGAGAGAGTGTGTGTGTGATGACAGCACTGAGCGAGTCGGAGGCAGTTACCGTCGCCGTAGTTCGGGCTTGCCACAGCCAGCTTGCACTCAACACGGCTGGGAGACGGACGCGCTACGTCACAAACGTGCGCAGTCACGACGCACTCAACAGCGGCGCGTTCCCGGCTGGGAGAAACCAAACTGGCCGTAGCAGTAGGTAAAGCTGACACGCTGACACCCCCACCCACATCAGAAAACCACGTAAATAGGTGGAGTGGTTAGTGCTACGTTTGTGCTGATTTGTGCCGTTAAAATTATCGTTTGTGCCACTATGGTTTTTAAAATATTCGACATTATTTTATAGGTCATCCAGAGGTCACCATCCCCCAGTAGGTGCAAAATGAACCGGACCAGTCAACGTTTTTAGTGCTACGTTTGTGCTTATTTGTGCAGTTAAAACGGTCGTTTGTGCTGCTGTGGTTTTTGAGATATATGATAAGGTGCTAATATATATAACATTTTTATAGTAATGCTTTTCAACTTGTACTTTTTAAATGACTTTGTGCCTTTGTTTGAAAATTGACGAATAAAGTTCTTTAAAAATATATTGTGCTTGCACAATTTTTAAAAATAAAAACAGAAATACTTCACTTCAAAATAGTTTTGAACGGAAAAACACTACATCCGGAAGAGTTTTTTTATTATTTAGTAAATTTACAAACAAACATGGCACCTTGACAATGTTAAGTCCAAAACTTAAATTTAAAAGGAGCAGTTAATATAACATTTGTAAGTATCCAGTAAAAGACAACAGCAAGAGAAAAAAGAACATGAACAAGTACAGCTTTCAATGAGGGTACAGCATATATAGAATTAGGAAATCACTTTGGAAGTTCAGCTAACATGTTATATAGATTTTTGCTATATTTGTTGAGGTGTTTCAGGGATTTTAAGTATAATTGAAATTCTATTAAAACATTGAAGACAGGGGATGATTGCAAAATTCGTTGTTTCTTAAAGTTTAATGGGTAGTTTGTTTATATTGTAGTCAGTTAGGAGAAGAATTTTTAAGCCACCAATTTTGTTGAAGATGTAATTGGGGATACTATACCAAAAGACGTCTGGGTGATTTAACCAAAATTTTAACCAATTAATCTTTAGGGTGCCATTAAGACATTCAAAGTCAATGACCTTTAAACCTCCATCTTTTATTTCTTTAGGCATATGAGCCTTTTTAAGGTAATGTGGTTTGTTTCTCCAAATAAAGTTAGTTTGTTTGATTTATTTTTTTAATTAGGTAGTTTGGTAAGGCAAGGTTACAGGTTGGGTAAATTAATCTTGATAAACAGCCCATTTTGGTGAGATAGATATGACCTAGAATAGAAAGGTCACGTTGGAGCCACAGGTTAAGTTTAGAATTTCCTTCATCAAGTTTATTTTCAAAGTTTAAGACTGAATTACGTTTAGGGTTTTTGTTAATGGTCACTCCTAGATATTTAACCTCAGATTTTATAGGGATATTATGTATTTCTTTTAACAGTGTGTCGTGAATGGCTAGAAGTTCACATTTTTTTAGATTTAGGTTTAGACCTGAGGCCTCAGAGAAGAGTTGAATCTTTTGGATGGCTATGGAAATTTGTTTAGAATCCTTTAAAAAAAGTGTGGTGTCATCTGCAAGTTGACTTATAATTAGATCAGTGCCTAGAACATTTAATTTTGCAATGTTATCACAGTTTTTTAAATACAATGCCAACATTTTGGTAACCAGAATGAAGAGATATGGTGAGATTGGGCAACCTTGTGGGATTCCAACATTAATATTAAATCTAGGGGTGGTGTTTTTTGGTAGCATGACACAGCTGTTTATGTTGTCATATAGGCCTTTGATTAAGTGATGAAGTTGGTACCAAAACCCAGGCGTTCTAAGACTGAGAAGATGAACTGATGTTCTACAGAGTCGAAGGCTTTGTAAAAGTCTAAGAAAAGTATGAATCCATTGTCAGTAATCAGATCTTTGTATTCAATTAAGTCCATTACCAATCTAATGTTATTATGGATCGATCTGCCTTTTAGAAAACCGGATTGTGATTCACTGACAATATCTGAAATTCCTGACTGGAGGCGTAAGGTAAATATGTAAGTAAGCAATTTATAGTCCGAATTTCTAAGTGTGATGGGTCGTCTGTTTTCAATAATTCTTGGGTCTTTGCCTGGTTTGGGGATAGATATGATGATGCCTTGTCTCATCGTGGGTGGAAGAGTAGAGTTATTAAAGATTTCCGAAAAAACTTCAAAGAGTAAAGATTTTATGTCCTCCCAGAAGTGACGGTAGAAGTTACCTGTAAGGCCGTCTGGGCCAGGTGCTTTATTAATCGCTAATCGTTTGATTGCCTTATCTAGTTTGCTCATCGTAATTTCCTTTTCACAGGTATTTTGGAAGGAGTCATCTATTTCAGGGATGAAGGAATCAATATGCTTTAGAAAAGCATTAGAATTAGGGGCTGAAAATTTAGAAGTATATAAATTTTGGTAAAAGTTGAATATTTCTTGTCCTAATAATTTTTCATCTGTGGATTCAACATTATTTATTAGTAAAGAGTTTATAGAATTTCTTTGTTGTCTTCTTTTTTCTAGGTTACAGAAATAAGCAGTGTTTTTCTCACCTTCCTCAATCCATTTGGCTCTCGATCTAATGAAGGCTCCTTTAGTTTTTGTATGTACATGTTATCCAACTTTATTTGAAGGGTTAGGACATTTTGCTCGTCTATTTCAGATGGATTAGGTTTATTGCAATATAAGTTTAATTTTTGTATAATGTCTAATTCTAAAACCTGAAGTTCATTTTTAAGTTGCTTACTAAAAGTTGTCTGATTTTGTACTTTAAAAATTCCCATTTAGCGGTTGGACTGTTTTTTGAGTTTACAATATCTGTAATAAGTGACTTTATTTTTTTACAGTAATGGTCATTTTGGAGAAGGCAAGAGTTAAATTTCCAATATTTGTTTATTCTATAAGTGTTGTTTTTCGGTTTAATTTTAAGTGATATAAGGTAATGGTCCGTTAGTGGGGCAGCAGATATATCAGAGATGAAGTCATACAATAAAAGTAAGTCATTAGTAATAAGCCAATGGTCGATCCTTGATTTATTAGTTGAATTAAGCCATGAGAATTTCTGAGTGACTAGGTTAAGGTGTCTCCATATATCCATAAAATTATGTTCAAAACAGAAATTGGTAAATAATGGATTTGGGTAGCTTATCTCACATTTGGATGGCCATCTATCCAGAAATTCATCCTGAACAAGGTTGAAATCTCCTCCAATAAGGACATTATTGGTGGAATGTTTGGCTTTTAGATGGTCTAACCGTAAACCTATTTCTTCCAGCAATATTTTATTTTGACTTAAGATATTATATCCATATATATTTACTAGAATAAAAATAGAATTTTCTATGTTTATGGTAAGAATTAACCAATGGCCAACAATATCATTCTCAATAGAAGTAATTTTACCTCGAAAGTTTTTCAACAAGATGGCAACCCCAGCTGACCTTGAGGAGCCGTGAGAAAAAAAGGCTTCATCTCCCCATTGCTTAGTCCAAAAGTTGCTGTCTTCATGTGTAGAATGAGTTTCTTGTAAAAAGGTAAATGCGGCATTTTTCCCTTTGCAGAATAAGAAAAGGCTTTTCCTTTTAGTGATATCTCTCAACCCTCTAGCGTTGATAGAGATTAACGAAAGTTCGCTGTTTATAATAACCATATAATGAACAAAAAAGAACAACATAGGATGAGCTAACCTAAAGCAATAAGAGAACCTAGGTAGCAATCCCCAAAAATGGTAATCTGAGTGTACAACATTTATAACATTTAGCGGATCTGTGTCCTCATACATCTACATAGATGTATATGTAAATAATCATATGTGGTCTCATTTTCACTTACACATGTTTATGTTAAATTGGCTAGGGTGTAACCCGCTGTCCATTGATGAAGGCATATGAACCTTTAAAGGTGGTTTTCAGCCCTGCTTTTCTCGCTTGTTCCACCCTAGGCCATACCGCAAGACATGCTTCACGGTCCTCCTTGGTGAGGTCCTCAGCGAATCGGATGTTGAGCTCTCTGCATGTGGGATGTTGTTTAGTGGATCTCCAAAGTTCATCTCCGTAGAAACGGCTGGTGAATTGTATGATGACTTGTCTTGGGTGATCAGGGTTTTTAGGGCCGATACGGTGAACAAAATCCAGAATGAAGTCAACCTTCTCCTTCCAGCTGGGTTGTATCTTTTTAATGATGTTCGATACACTTTGTCTTCTGTCTTCCTCTTTGTCCTCTTTTAACCCTTTGAGCCGTAGGTTCCATTTTCTTTGGTATCGGTCAAGGTTTGAAGCGTTGCTTTCCAAGTTGTCAACTTTTTTGGTTAACACTTCATTTGTGGTTTTCAGCTGAGTTATCTGCTTATTTTTCTCTTTACAGTCTTGAATTTCAGCGCTGTTAAATTCAACCGCTTTGGCAATGTTAGAGATGGAGTGTATTTTGTTTAAGGTCAGCGCCAAAGCTTTCCATCATTTTTTGTAGACCTTCAATGGCGGCTAGTAGCGCACTGTTGGATACATTAGAGTCGGTTTCTTCTTCTCCTTTTTTTTGTGTGATGTTGTGGCTTTGCAGGGTGATGAAAGTGAATTTTTATTACCTCTTGAGTTGGTGTCCATATTCTCCAAACCAAGGTAGTCGTGAGTTAATAGAGCTTTGTGAGCTTTGCTGTTAGCTTTAGCCATTTCTTCGTGTTTCATGTATGGCCTCATCCACTCTTGTTTAGCCAATACCAGTACTAGTTGTAGAGGGTAGTTTTATATTTCCGGTGAGATGTTTCATTAATCATTAAGTAATAATAGTTCTTAAATTAGACCATTCTTTGAGGTTGCTACCGGAGCTCCTTACAGAACGTCTGCTCCTTCCGCCATCTTGCCTCCTCTCCTACATCTGGAAGAGTTAATGATCCTGCCTCTTTCCGCTTAAGGCATTTCCGGTTGTGGTGTTTGAGTGCCTGCAGCCAGATCATCGTGGGAAGTCTTTGTTTACTGTGGGAAGTCTTTATTTACTTGAATA